TCGACAACAAGGAAATATTGAGCCAAACCTTTCAAAACATTTTGGAGTCAAAAGGATCTAACTTTTATATAACAACAACAACAAACCTTTATCCCACTAAGTGAGCCCGGTTACATGAATCTTTTTTCTTTAATTGTGTTCTATTGGCTGTCGTATTTTCATTTTATTCTAATAAATTAAGTTCATCTTTATAAAAACATTTTATAACTTACAAAGGTCATATATTCTTATAACTTAATTTAAATCAAATATTTAATATAATTGAATGAAAACGTCATGTTGAAGGTTGGTGGCTTTGAGAAAGAAATTTACATAATTGGGCAGAGATAGAGGGATGGTGAGGAAGATAGTTAGGCTGAGAAAACTGAACTTCTTCGCCTCGGCAACAACCATTTCTATGACAAAGTAATCAATTGGGCAGAGATAGAGGGATGGTGAGGAAGCACTTCAGGTGAAAGAGGGAGATAGTTAGGCCGAGAAAACTGAACTTCGTCGCCTCGGCAACAACCATTTCTATGACAAAGTAATGATCTTCAGCCTTCTTGAGTCACATTAATTATGATCTTCAGCCTTCTTGAGTCACATTAATTATTGATAGCAGAGAATCCAATTGTTGTGTCATTGCTTGATGTTCCAGTCATCTTAGGCTTCATTTGAAAAAAAAATGATGCTGATCATTTTTCTTTCAAAAATTATATTCATTGCCGGAAAATTGAGCCGTGATCCGAAATCCTTAAAACTTATAGCTCTTGAGAAAGAATTTTAGGAGATGTTCCTCTCCCACTGTTTCATAAAAAATAAAAAAAAAAAACAAATTATATTATTTTAATATTCACTCCAACCAAATAAAATTTCCCATCCTCTAACAAATTATATATTTTAATAATCACAGGAGCGTTAGAGGTCTTTATCGGAAGGGAGAAAAATTTGTGTACGTAAGACGTACGCAGAGCTATGTACGTCGAAGGTTATTCAGAGGGTATTGCGGGTTATAGGTAGGTTACAGAAATGTTACAGAGGGTGTAACATATCTATAACCCCTCAATACCCTTTGAATAACCTCCGACGTACTCAGCTCTGCATTCGTCTTACGTACGCAAATTTTTCTCATTGGCGAGACTCAGAGTCATGGAGAATAATTGACTAGGACTTTAAAGCTGTTTTTTTTTTATTTTTCTTCAGCCGGGTGTGCCACACTAGATGTGTATCATATTTTACATATTCTTTCCCATAGTGAAATTTAGTAAATTTAGAATTTAATGTATAACTGAAAAGTAATTAAGTAACTAGATTTATTAAATTCAGGATTATATATATATATATT